AAACAGACATGGCATCTGAATTGTGCATACGTGACAGAGAATTTCAGAAGCCTTGTTGCAAATAATTTTTACATGTAACATGTGCATGAAATAAGATTAAGTCCTGTTGAAACAATTTAAAAAGATATTGGAAAGAACAAAGTAGTGTATGACAGCATATTTAAGCAATGTGTTACCATTAGAATATTCAGTATTTAATTTCTTCTCAAAAGGCTAGGCAGACACACCTGCCATGTAGAATAAAAAGATAAATTGTATGAGCACAGATATAGCTATTTATAGGTGTTGGTTTATATACTTAAACTAAATTAAAATTTCCCACTGAGAACCATAACTTCAAACAAAGTTGACGGAAAGTGTCAAAATCAGACTGCTAACTCAGATATTTCAGTTGAAGTAGCTACTTAAAGAAAAAAGCAAAAAATCGTGGCTAGTCTTTCATTTGCGTATTTGCCATAGCGATTTAGGACAGGGAGTAGATGCTAAATGCACTGTATAGATTGAGACTGCACTTAAGTAGGAGTTGATATTAATGAGAGAACAGTTATACTGTTATCAGCAAAAATGCTACCTAAAATTCTGAAACTACAGCTCTGCAAATGTGAAGGGAACTGAAGATAGAAAATAACATGTTGCAGTCAGGCTCTGCACCATCACGCCCCTAAAAATAGCAGCCTACTGTAAAAACCAGAATTCAACAACAGCTTTAGGTAAAAACACTTTGGTAATAATACTCATACAATCTCAGTATAAAATAATACTAAGAATTTCCTGTGTCCTGCTCCCACAGTTCCATGCTTCCTCTGGTGTGCCTTTGTCCTGTGCTGGGGGACATAGACCAGATTAGCATTGATTCATTGGTTCAGACTGGTTCATGTGAAAATACTCATTCCAAAAAAAAAAAAAAAAAGAAAAGAAAAAAAAAGAAAATTATAATAATAATCATTTCACAGCATGGCCTCAGAAGACTCAGGCTGGTAAAACTGAAGGGATGTTCACAGAAGTATAAAAAAAAAAAAGGATAAAAGTGAGCAAAGAGAAAGAGGACAGTTGCTAATTTCTTGTCTCTGTGAACTACAAACTATGCCCTTCAGTAATTAAGGCTTTAAGTGCAAGTAATTGTAATATTGTTTTTCCTGAGACAAGGACCAATGCTACTTATTACTGATTGACGTTGAATTATAAAATCTGAACTTCTGCTTCACTTTACCCCACAGAAAGAGCCATGTCTTTTCATGAAGACAATCTTCTCAAGCACTGTTCTTGGAATGGTCCTCATTGTGATTAAATTGATATGGAAGTTAAACTCCTGTCTTCTACTACAACCTTTCAGAAAGTATTTATTAAAAAAAATATAGAGGTCTCCACATACTTTCAGATGTACAATGTAATATGTTGAACTAATGCATTCAGCCGCAGTCCATAACTGTAATTTACATAACATTTACATACAGGATTCAACATGTGGAACAACAAAACCAGATGAATGTGTTGGAAATCAAGAACTTGTTGAAGAACATTCAAGCCTTTATATGTAAGAAGATTTATCAGCTGGAGAAATCTTGCAATATAGAAAATGAGTGTTAACACTCTTAACACACTGCCATAGTTAACACACATTGCCAGGATATTATCAAACATTGAAACAGTGCAAAGTCTTAGTCTGAAATGGGTATCTGAGAACTATAAAATCCTAGGTAGCTTCATGGACAGTGAAATTCACAAGCAAAGCTTGTTAAATAGCAGAAAATCACATTATCAAGAAATGATGGAGGGTAGGATTACACAACACAGGGCTACAGAAACAACAATACATAATGGGGCAGAGGTACACATAGATGAGATGTCCCCATACCTTGAACCACTTAAAGCCAAAATGGTTGACCGCATGCATTGATTCATTAAACAGCTTCAGACAGGCAGTGAAGTGGTAGAGAACAAGATAAACAGAAGAGAGGAAATAAAAAGCATGCAATTAAAAGAAAATTATAATCATTTTGCACAATATTAAAATTTCCAACTCACGCATACAATTTGTATTTGGCCTAAGAATGATATCATCACCTGTAAAGATCAAAAGATTAATATCCTTCACAAAAACAAAGCCTTGCATTTGTAAAACTGCAAAGCTACCAAAGGGCTTCTGTCATAACACTAGAGAATATAGAGCAAAGCAGGCATTCTCTTAAGTAATCAAAGAAATGAAAAATAATTGAAGGAATGTATCCCCCTCGCATTTGAGGTGATAACCAGCTACTTGCCATCACTCCATGACTTGACTGTATCTAATAAAGAACAACAACTGGGCAAACTATTGGGTACAGTGGGGCAAAACAGCTGTTTTGTGGCTGGAACAAGACCCTCTGGTTGCTTTTCTGTGTGACATCCTATTGGTCATTACACTGTATAAAGTATGATGTGCCACAGAGGGCAGTTTAGTTGTTCTGCTGGACTAAGACACAGCTGTCATAATCAATGATGGTGTGACCTAGAGGTCTTCCTCTTCTGATCCCAGTGGTTTCAAATCCATCCTTCTTCCTCCTTACTTCCATACAAACTACTACATCCAAATTCATTTCCTGTTTAAGATGCTGTTACCCATCATATTCCAGAAATCTTTTCCCACAACTCATACTTCTCTTGGCTTTTCTCCTCACCTCTCAACCTCTCTCAGTGATCCTTATGGCTTACTGGCCCTCCGACAGCACATTTCCATCACCTTGCCTCATCATACAGATTGTACTGCCATTCAATCTATTTACCAGTTATTTCATCAAGCTCTTTTCATCAAGCTCTTACCATATGATCTCATTGTTTGCCTCTCATAAGGCTTTGCTGGTGAATGTTTTCAAAAACCATAATGGAAATTTGTAGGTATTCCCTAAGCACTAATCACTTTCCGTATTTTAGTTTTAGGATGTCTCAGGTACAAATAAGATTCCACTTCTACAACAGTTTCCTATTTTACTAACTCAGACTTAACTCTTGTCCTCTCCATAATAAGCTTGCTTACAGCAGATAGACAACCACAAGGACTTCATGCTAATGGGCTGAGTCCTCCTTTCTATCCTGCAACTGAAAGTTTCCTTGCTATTTCATTTCTTTTCATCTAGGACAGAACCTTCATATTTTTGTTAATCTTGACAGTACCTTTGACTCAGATGTCCTTCTACTCCTTGTGCAAAGGTTATTTTGAAACATTTGCAGAATTTCTTTTATGGAATATCTCTAATGTAAGACTTTTCTGGTTGTCTCTCTATTGCTAAAAGTTCTTTAGTTAGGTGTATTTTGTGTCTGAATGTGCAAAAATCTTCCTTCTGCAGATTGTGGCAATTTGTGCAGGAAAGTCCTCTGTAGCTTTGATGTTATTGTGGATAGTGTTAATGTTATTAGCACGTTTCTTTACTAGCAAATCAAATATAAGCTACCAATCACCTGCAAACTGTGCTCCACTCATCCTTCACCTTAACTACTGAGGTGACCTGCGATCAGCCTCTAGAATAAGCCTACCTCATACTTGTATTTCTGTAAATTTACCAGTTATATTCATCTTCATGCTTATTTCCTAACATCAGACATTCCTAACACTTACAAAATTAATGTACTACATTCTTCAAAGCTATCCTTCAAAAATTCACTAAACGTTATGCATCTTGTGTTTAGACCACAGCCACACAAAACGTTCTACAGGCTTTTCTACAGAATTTTCTACAGAATTCTACAGGCTTCTCTACACTCAAAGAACACCATTGTCACAATCCTCCAACAAAGAAATTAAAACATTATGACATCATAGATAACAAATTAGATGTTCTTTTGTTTACTTGTGCATCTCAGCAGAGAACTTGCTCTTCTGTGAGATACATATATTTCTGAGGAGGAAATCTATTCTTTTATGTGGTATTCACTACCAAGATAACACTTCTATAAGATAAATTTTTTTTAAGAGTTTACAAGAAGTTTAGAAAGAAGGCACTCTTGAAATTAAATTCCATAAAGTTACCTAGAATCTTAGGATACTTTAACCAGAATTATCCTCAGTACGTTTACCAGCAAACAGTTGATACTGACTGTAGCATAAAGAGCAAGAGTTGCTTTCTTCTTGAAAACTTGATTATTAACTAAAAAGAGCATAAAGATACATCTTGAAAGAAGGTGATATAAGAATACATGTTGAAAAAAAACCTTTAAAAATGTTTTAAAGTGTAGTTAGTTAAATCTTTTCCATTTAATTAACAGAAAGAGAATACATCATTGCAATGTAACTGACCAAATGCCCCTGTTTGCTTATTATGGTCAGGAGAGGAACAGATAAAACACTGAAGAGGTTCACAAAAACCACAGTAAGAACACCAGGCTCAGCTCCTTATACTTCAAAAGATTCATCAAAATATAAAGGAAGTTTATTCATTAGATATGGTATGTTTTCTTAGTGATTAATTATGGAAGTCAAAATCTGGTCCATACATGATTCTTCAGGATATCTAACCCGTGACAGAATAAATTCAGGCATAGAAGTTTACACCTGTGGTTTCAAGGCGAGTGTGTATTTTCTGTGTGTACGCTTGCCTTAAATAAAGGGTTTGTCTTTCTATCCAGTAGTTGAGAGACTGTAAAAGAAATGAGATTGTGGCCCATATGCATGACCATGCTAATAAAATTCACCTTCTTTAAACATGCATAATGAACAACACAGTGAGTGTAAGCATGTTTACATATAGAAGGATAGCTCTGATAGGTAAGATTAGTCAGAAGAATTATTACATAAAATAATACTTAAAAGATTAGGATACCTTGTATTTATTTCTCTTTTTTTATTTTTCCCCAAGAAAATATCACCTGTGAAAAACAAATCTTAGCAGATTTTATGGGTTTTGTTACCCAAACTTGAACAGAGATAGCTGATTAAACAAAACCATCTATGTTTCACAGTAAAGCAGTGGAAACAGTACTTTACTGTTTCCTAAGAGGACTACCAGCGACTTTATAAGATTGCAGACCTGTTTCTCAGCATTGATCCTGGCTGACTCCTCTTGTGCTAGCACCATTTCTCGCTCTGCAGTTATCTGAACACTTTCTCTGAGTGCCTCTTCCAATTCTTCAATCCGATCATCCTTTTTACGCAGATTGTCCTGGAAAATGATGGGAGACTAGGTGAAGAAGACTTGTTTGGGACTACAGCCTTTCAGTCAACCAAGTTCTATGCCAAGCAAAATCTGATTCTCCCTACCAAGGTGCAATTGCAGGCAAATTATCTTCACACAAGGGAAAGAAAGATGAAGTGATGCAAGAATAGGAAGATCACAGTAAAGAGAAGGAAAAAGCTAGCAAAGTAGGACCTCAAAGCAAGAGGGTTTGCCCTCTCATCAGGCACATCACAGTCTTGCCAGATTAAACAGAATAGCTAAGTAAGTTTTGCTTGTGAATGAAGATTAGTAAGCAGTTCCAAAGAAGGAGAGTAGCCAGAATTGGTGGGAAAGCAGGCACGCAGAATTGTCCATTTGCTCACACATTCACCAGCAGGCATGGTAAAACGGGAAACAAAGCACTGCAGTCTTGCAACTTGCTACTTCCAGGTTAAGTGAGAGAAAAACAAATATCAACCAAACAGAATTTTCTCTTGTTCAGATAAGACTTAAAGGAAGTTTTTTCAACAACTATCTAGGAATTAAGAATGGCAGTTTAAACCTCAGAAAGCTAAGTATCAAGACTATCTGAAAATACATTCTTCAATTAAGAACATCTTCACAGTTGTAGGTTCCAAAGTCCCACCTATAGTCAAAGACCATGGAAGGAAACTCTCCTCAGAAAGTATATGGTTTAATTGGCAATAATATAATTCAAAAAATGATATTCAAAATGAATGGCATTCTTATTTGTATAGAAGACCTGTATTTTCTTAATATTGCTAGGAAAATAATTGTGTATCTTCTGCCTCTGCTGTAGTTCTGCTGTAGTAGCTTGGACAAAAGACTGCACACCAGGCTGTCCCCAGGAGCATGGCTGCTTAACAAATCCATCAGAAATGACCAGCTTGATGGAAGATTTCTGCTTTTCTCATCTTGCAGATCAATTTAGATCATATGGTTCAGATCAGATATTAGTACATGCTTAAGTTAATGCAAAGGCTTTTTAGACAGCTCAGCAGTAGTGGAAGAATCAAATATTTTTTCCCTTTGGTTTTTGCATTTCCCTTTTTATCAGGTTTAATCCTTAGTCTTCTGTCCTGACTGATGTTTTCCACTGTTTCTCTGTGCTTCACGCCATATAAAGATTAAGGATAAAGACAACTTATTTGGAAAAAAACAAAAAAACAAAAACAAAACAAAAATTTTGTAATGCCAAAATGAATCGCTGTAGTTCTAAAGAGTGAACCTTATTCCTTAATTGCTGCTCCCCAGGACTTTCAGTACATCACCAAAGATAGTGCCATATGAACACCAGTTCTGGCAGTCTCATTACTTCTGAAGAGAACTTTCCAGCAGAGATGCAAAACTTTGTATCCAAACAGTACAAGACTCCTGGCTCCACTGCTCTTACACAGAGAAAGGCTAGTTCAACCACTAGCAAAGGCAGAGAGATTTGCCAGGTTTTGCAGATGGACAAGCTTTCTGCTGTTGGTTATTTTCCAAAGCAGGTTCACAAGGCAAGTAACCACTGATTTCTAAAGACACAACCGAAGAGATCTTCATTTAAAAAATCAGAGTTGCAGAACATACTTTAGTACTTTCTAAAACCTACTGAAACACTAATAAAGTCTTCCAAAACTACTTCATGGTTATGATTAGTCTAACTGAAGATTCAAATAGAAACAGAGTGCAGACTTGAAAACTATTTACTCGCCAATCTACATTCTGTGGGGAACATCAATTGTACGTCTTGATATTATTCACGGATAGCCAAGGAAGTGTGAAAGTGTACCTCTCCATTTCAAACAACAGAAGTGGAGACGGTGCATTTGAACAGCTGCGTGTAAAACTGAAACTGGTTTAAAATAAGAGTGTAGAATGGAGCGCTGTAACGTGTATTGTATGCCAACCTTCATCATCATAGGCCAACATTTAAGAGGTTAATTCAACATGGCAAAGTTCTCTGTCCAGACAGGTGAATCCTTCAGAGACAGGAAAAAGAGTAGCTCATGGTATGAAAACTGTGCAACTCAGTACAACATCACCTGCACTTGAAAAGTCTACAATTACATATTTTTTTCTAAAATAATATGTGAACTTTCATATATAGACTGGAGAATTGCAAGTTTAAAAAGAAGACAACAGTGCTAGAAAAACAAAAAAACTGCCAGAAATGATGATTTTAAACTTCTGTCAAATGTTCATTACCCATCTAGTAAATTAAGTTTGGTTGCAAACATCCACCTTCTGTCTCAAACCAACAGTTCAAAGAGCGGTGATAGTTTCTTGCTTGCTCTTAACAGTGCCACAGTGTGACTACCCGCTTTACAAAGTGACGTCTATGCCTGGAAGAGCAGAGGAACTGCTGCACAGTCAGACACCAGCAGCACTCCAAAGTGGAGAATAATTTCAGGAAACTTTTAAATAAATGTTTTGTTTCCATCCATTCTTTTTCCATCATGAAATGATCAGTATTTGATTTTATTTTTTGTTTTTAACACACGCTGCTGTTTCAAACACAACACTCCAATAGAGAAAAAATAAATGAAGCCAAACCAGCATTTGCCTTTTAAAATACCAGCAGTGTTTTCCCAATTGCTTGGCTCAACAGTCTGAAACATGATAGGCTCATGTTGAACATCAACCCATGCTGCTCCTGTGGCTTTCCTCTTTTTAATTCCATGAAAGATTTTATCGCTATTATGAGAAGCGGTAAACATTGAAGAAAGTACTGTATAAATTGTAACTACCATCACCTATTATGTCAGGAGTTTTCTACAGAAAGAGAATATTTTGACATTTAATTCTACAGATCGTTCTGGAAAACTAAATCTAAACTAAACTAAAATAGAATCTACTAAATAGGAAGAAAATCAGAATTTTAGAAAGGAAATCAGAAACCTTTCAACATGAACAGAATACAAAAATGCCCTCTCGAGAGGAGGAGGCTGTGATAATGCTGGTACTCTACTGCAGGAAAAAGAAAACTGTTATCTCCCAATTTTTCACATGCTGCTGAAGCAGGTAACCCCAATAGTGAAATGTATTTATTCTCTTAAATAGGGGACTAGAGCACAACTTGAATTACTTCCTACATATAATAAAATGTGACACAGAGTGCAAGTTTCTCACTGGCTATTCTGATGAAATTGCATAGTGATAGACCATAGCAGTTTCCTTTCACGAATCTTATACACGACTATACAGAAAGAAAAAGGAAGTGTTACTTACCTGTACAGTAACTGGATTCTTTGAGATGCATTACCTACCCAAACATCTCCATGACCCTCACTCAGCTCTGCGCCCAAGTCCCGTATGTGTGAGACTCAATGGCAGAGAGGGAATTAAACATGGACAGGGAGATAGCTCTGCCTTTATGCTCACTGGTGACACCACAATGAAAATGAAAAACCCAGTCGATGCTGTGGGAGTGCCAGGAGTTCAGGCACAATATGATTTTTTCTACAAACACTATGATCCTGCAGCTGATCCGTATGCAAAACCCATTCCAGTACATGCCTGTCTTAAAGACTGAAAGGAAAAGGAGGTGCGACTGACACACATTTCTGGACTTTTTATTTCACTTCAGGAAGGAAGTGGTGGGATGTCCAAGTGATGCATATTAAAAGGATGTATCAATTTAATCTTTCCTTCGTTTGTAATGTGTTATCTGCCATGAAGTTTTGTGAAAATGCATGAAATCGGATGCAAGTTTTCACCAAGGCATTTAGGTTCAATTAAACCTGAGGTATCCTGGCAAACTTCTGCGTAACTACAGCTTTGTGGCTTAACTTTACTGTTGGAATTGAAATTTAGATGAATTTCTCTGGTTAACTCTTGGGAAAGATTAGTTAATAGTCTGAGAGGGCAATTAACTGCTCCTTTTGACTGTTAAAAGAACTCCTAGAACTAGCCAATCACCTAGGTAGGGAAAGATCATTTTCATATAAACCCATAATTAATGTAATTAAGCACATTTTGCCCTTTGTACTTCCATAGATGAGAAAGGAAGAAGACATTACTGCAGTGTTGGTTGCTCTGCTGCACTGCTAAGCCCAGGAGGAAAGTTGCTACGACAAAATCAGAAATCTAAACTTAAGAAGAGAGGAACTGATGAATATAAATCATCATGAATTTTTGCTGCTCTTTCCTCTGAAAAATACTTGTAAAAACCTGAAGGCCTTTTTAAGAAAGGCTTAAGTGAATATTCAATGTTGTGGTATCAAAAGGTGAAATTAATGTCTCATTTTATTTTGGAAGCAAATAATCACAGTTATTTAAAACTCAAGTGAGTGTAGTTGGACCTCTTTCATTTGGTTCCATGCTGCTAAACTGCTTGCAGAGGTCTCTGAACAAGAAAAGAATGAAAATTTGTCACTCATAAATGGAGGAATCTCTCTTTCACTGATGAGATTCTTTTGACTTACTGGGTTTTCAAAGATATATATATATATGTATATAGGGTAAATATTGTGGCATGGAGGTTGGAACTTGATGATTCTTGAGGTCCCAAGCCATTCTATGATTCTATGACGATTCTGTGATTTGCTGAAGAAGAAGGCAATAAAAGAAAAAATGCATGCTGTCTTGAAGAGTGCTTGTAGAACAAAATAAGAAAAGACTATTAGTTCCTAATGGGGGAAATATCTGTAGGGTAGTTTATAACTTGGTTCCAAGATGTGCATAAACATGGATCCAATATTAATGATTCTGAAACCAAAGTAGCAGAGGCAAACATTTGTGTAATAGCTGGTTCTATATATATTGATGGGCATGAGTAAAAAACTGAGTTGAAGGAATGATTACTATCAGTGCTAAAGCTACTATCATCAGTGTTGCATACAGATGCATTGACACTCTCAAATGGTGAAAGAAGTAAAGTGCAGAGTTTGCTTGTGATGGTGAAACCTCCATCTGTCTGGGCAAAAGTTGGGTAAGTAGAAACATTAAATTCATATGACGTCTCTGTCTCTCACACAGTAAGACAAAAAGGGCTTCTTCCT